ACAACTACATTCACAGGACGGTATACGGTATACGACTGTATACCCGGTATAGTACTGTACTGTACTGTCAAATGGTTGTGCAGAATGCAACAGATACACTGCCAAGAAAGAGCTATGCTTTGTTACACAAAAAAATATGTGATGCAAATGCCGATACCGGTGCGGATACCAGTGAAAAAAGAAATTAACCATAGAATGAATGCAAAACAAACAGAACGATTGATTGTCAGTGCCAGTGATCAGTGATAAGTGTTATAAAAAAGTTAATCTTAATAAGTTGTTATAAGTGATAGTTGCGATAACTACAACATAGGCGGATGACAATAATTGTTCTGATTCAATAATGTATATAATCAATTTATAATTATAATATACTATGATATGATATGATTGGATGAGACTCATATGATATGAAACAATAATTAAAATTAGTTTTTTTATACAACAATAATACTTGCGTGAGGTTTCAATGAGTAAATTGACATCACATCACATCACGTTTGTTGTCTGTCAACCAGTCAACCAACAAAAAAAAGCCGAGTCACAGCAAAGCCTTTTTGTTGTTCACCCATGACATTGTCCAGCGTTGGATCATCACCGGGAATGACGCTGCATCTCCAAGAACTCGTAGCATCTGACTGGTTTCATCAAATTCAAGCTGGAGCCTCCGATCACGATCAACGTGACGCGCCGATTGAAGGAGAGCATTTGATGAACCACCACCATCTTCTTGTTTTCAATCAGTAAATTCTATATATATATATAGTGTTAGTTGATGTGGTCAACAAATGAACAAATTAGCGACGGGCAAGATTCTCAAAATCCTTAAGCTAGCTCCAAAAGGGGTGGTCCATTGCTAGTGGTTATGTTTTTGTGTTTGTCTCCAATAGCAAAATATACTTGCATATACTTAGTTATCAGTTATCAGTATCAGTCCCAGGTTCATATCATCATATCATATCAGTGTATGTTTTAAGTTTTTATAAGCAACAAATGACATAGACATGATTCAGATCTGATATGATGTGTGTGCAAAAGTTGAGACACTCAATTGTTGTTGCATGGTTGAGAGTCCGATTCTGATTCCTCGAATCTGAATTGCATATCAATCATTCATTCATTCAACACACATCACAAAACAAACCAGTCATTTTGACATTTTTTGGGCAACAATCTAATTCAAAGCTCCTTGTTATTGCCATTGCCCCAGGGGTAGGTGCATGGATGTTTACCATAGCCTTTTGTGTATTGTAGGATTGTAGATTTGATGATATGATACAACAAAACCAAACCAAACTATACAGCACTACTTTTCAATGCTTCATCTACAGTCTACAAACTGAAAAGTTAATCAAAATTGATATTGGTCCACAGTGTGACTCGGTATTGTCTGTTCACTCCGTCCACTCTCCTTTATTTTATATACTCAAGTGACTCAAGTCAAGTCCCCCTTCTCCTCCACCTACCTTGCCCCAACAACGAGGAAGGTTCAGAGTTCAGAGTCACCGAGTTGCTTGCAGACTTGATGTGAGTCACTGATCGCCGTCTTCAGGGAATCGGCCTGCTTGTCCAAGAAAGTATTTGCCAAAGCGTTCCGAGCCTGACAGATGAGTGAGTATCAACTCTTGACTCTTGAGCACTACCACTGCCACCCACAAAAACATACAAATTACAATCTGGCTCAAACTGAACTATTCCAACTAGCTGGTTTTGTAATCGCATTGGATCAGTATCATCATTGGGAATCATCGGGCCAATGGGCCTACATAGCCGATCACCGATGGAATGAAAAGGGACCATTTGGCCATTTGGTGACAAGAAGCATCTCATATGACTCGTGACTCATAACTCATGACTCTGACTGTCCTTCTGGATGTGTGTGGAACTCCCTCGGAACCAGTATGATGTAGAAGACGTCGAGAACTGTACAGGACTGTTGCTCTGGTTGAATGAGCTCTCTTGCGCAGAGTGTCCAAACCTTAGACATCGTCGATAGGTTGTGGAGAACTACCAATGTCAAATACACTCTGAGTCTCATGAGACATGACTTGACTCATATCAATATTATTCCACCAAAAGTCATGAGTATTGACAGATCGATTTTCAACCAGGCCATCCAAAGACTCCAAAGAAATAGATTCCTGTGTTTGCTTCTGATTTGAAGAAAATATAACCATTTTGCATCTCAATCTCAAGACCCACTGCTTCACATAGTCTCATAGTTGCCGTTAAACAAGCAGAACATAACCAATTAGTAATCATCACACATACACCTGCATAGCCGCATAGCCTAGCCTGCTACATATGAATAATAGCCATGGGCCATAGCCTATAGCCTACTGATACCGATGCCGATGCCACCGCTTGAAACCAACGCAACGCTTCATGACAATGGGTCACCCATGGTCATGGTCCATGGCCCATTGTTTTTTAGTGACTAGACTAAACTATGCCTAGACTATGACTATGACTCGACTAGACTATACTATAGACTATAGACTATACAGATACAGTACATACTATAGACTATAGACTATAGAAGTCTAAGTAGAATGTTAAAGAATGTCAATGTGATCAGTGATTAGTGATTAGTGATTACAGCAATCATTGAGTCAGTCTATCAAATAATAGTTGTTGTTTGTTCGGGTCGGAGTCGTATAGTCGTCTAGCAGTCTAGTCATCATAGTCTAGTAGTCTAGTCATAGTCAGAGTCATTTTAGACTCATGGACTCATGGTCCCATGAAGTTACCATCATGTTACGTTTGTTTTGGTCGATGGCCCATGGCCGAGTCACGCCACCTTCAGTAAACCATGTGGTGTCCAGCACTTGTAGCGCCCCCGTCCCCTGACCGCTGCCTTTCTAGAATCCTGAGATGTGGCAGTGCAACCAAGCCAATATCAAATCATATCGTCAAATTTCAATTTAGTAGCCTTTTGTTACTGATTCTGGAACAAAAACAATTTATTCTGTGTCTGTGATTCACATCACTGGCTGCTCCAATCATATAAGAACACATAGATTACTGAATAGTGTGATGTGATTTTAGTGATGCTGCCTGCTCCCTGCTACCCCTGTATAAACCGAAATCCAAGCATCGCCCACAACGTCTTTGTTGCGGATAGCAGTTCTGTTGACAGCTGTCTCTAAACTGCTGTCAGAGGCCTTCCGTCTCCAGAAATGGATCTTCTTGTGCGCCCTGACATACTCGAGCAATGCCTTGGCTGCTGGCTGGCTATTAAAGGTGGCTATTAAATATTTCTATGACTATTACTACTACTGACTCCCTGATTCATTTTCCACTGGCAATGAACCCACACATTTTTTTAAATGAGCCTGAAACCTACTAATGTGTAAGCTTGTACATATTACATTTACAGTGACATGTTTGAAGTCATTCTTGCACTCATTCATTGATTCATTCTGACTCATTATTCATTATGAACTGATGTAGTTAATCATTAGCTTATCAATAAACCGCAATAAGAATAGGCGATCGATTAGCTCAAAGAAAACAACTAAGGTGGTTAGTTGTTCACATGACCCCTGTTGTGTGTTCGTCTGTGTTAGTTAGTCTTAGTCTTAGTCTTAGTAGTTCTGCTGTGGCTATATGATTATCAAAACTTGACTGTCAATTATCATCATAGCTGTCACTGTGATTCAATTATATATCCACTGCTTGACTATATGAAAAAAAATTCAAGGCGCAGAGCTCCTTCGCTGGAAGCGTTTGCGCAGTCCAAGTGCTGGAGCACAACCGCCGCTACCACCATCATCCTCAGAATCACACGATTCACAAGTTCACACAATTCACCAATCACAAAGAGTCTTGTATGTACGGGCTGACTGCTTATGTTTTGTCACTCACGTAAACAAACGTTTGTAAATGTAACTTTATGCGATGTCACTGTCATGAGTCTGAGTCATGACTCATGACATAATGTTTTGATGTCATCCTGAGTCATCCTGATGGGATTTGGATAATGCAATGGCAACTGCTGACGATGTGATCAGCGAACGGGATGGACATAGGCCATGGGTTTGAGTCATGTACATGGAGCTATAGTCATAGTAGGCTAGGTTAATCAAAAATAATTCAGTCACTGACAATGTTGATGTTGATCTCATGAAGAAGATTCGCTGGACTGTAGAACGTTTTCACCAAGACCAAGACTCTCCAGAGGAAGGTGCGGCAGCGTGCGCAGCTATCCGTAGTAGCACATCCATGCATGCATGAGATCTGACCGATCTGAAATCCCATCATCCTGTGTGACTCTATACTGTCTATGCTTAATGTTCAACCTGAGCGTAGAGTTTGTTTTGACTATAGACTATAGACTATTGCCATTAACAGTTCCAGTGCAAGTGTGGTCAATTGTCTATCCTCAACTGTGTTGAGCTGCCATCTCATCATGAATCATAATGTGTTGAGCTCTATTCCTTCTACTCCAGATCAACTGTCCAGAATCATGTCATATGTCTTATGTTTGCCAACCGTCTATTGATATAAACATGTGAGTGATGATGACATCAGAGTTTTCATTTGAGCAAACAACAAATCATCACAGTCAGGGCAGGTATACACCGTTTTTTTCTCGGACTGAAGTGAGCATTCATCTTGGATGTGGGTCATAGAGGCATCACCTGGTTCATACACATCTCACATATGTTCAAATATATGTTTGTCATATGTTTGTCATATGTGTGACAAATGCAATATATGAACAAAGATATGTGCATCATATCTTTTACATATGCAAAATATATGTTAAGCATAACGCAGATATGTGGATATGTATGCGTCGTTGCCCGCCGCTCACCTACAGAAACCTTGTTTGCATAGGTCTTGGATTTAGATAATGTATATATGATATTCTTATATATAATATTGTATACATGTAGTACATATACACAAAGAAAGAGAGAGAGAGAGAGAGAAAGAGAGAGGGGGCTTTCACCATCTCAATCCGTTTGGACCCCGGCCGCTGACCGGAAAGACGCCTCATGCATGCCCATCAAGCCGTAGAGTAGCACCATGGCCTTGATGAGCCCCTTCTGGCGGCAGATGCGCAAGGCGAAGTGGCAGTCCAGCTGAGGATTGCCCTCCTGAGGATTGCAGCGAAGCGGCAGTTGAAGCAGATAGCTCCAGCAGTTGAAGCAAGAGCGAGCGAAAGGCCATGACCAGCTCGGATGCTGCTAGCACAATAGGTATCCTAAATTCGGCCCTGAGATCGTGAATGAACACCATGTGTGCACCCAACAGGGGCGTTCCGGAGTTTCAAGAGACGGATCTCCGGATCTTAGGCCATGGATAGAAAGCCACGTCCAGCAGACAACCATGACCAGCAAATGCATGCTTAGACTTAACATGACTTAACCATGAACCCTGAAAACATGTGATTTGACCAAACGCTCCATTCACAGCCCAACCGGTCCCTCCAAAACCTAGGGATTGGCGAGAAACCCCAAACCCCCTTATGAGTCTCTGGGTGGATCCATTTGGCTCCTTACAACGCTAACTCATCGGCTTTCACCGCCGACGACTAGCGTTGCTTTCGACTAGGCAACGCGCTGACCGGATCAAGGAATCGGTCGACCGTGCGACTCCCTCGTTGAGATGGATACTTTTGGGTACGTAATTCAATGTAGAATCCTCATCCTCATGAATTCATGTGAACCCCCCCAGGCCGAGATTGTTCAATTTTGCCTCTCGAGTCGTTTCTTCGCGACGTCTCTCGCGACGAAAGAAACATCCCTGCCTTTCCCGCCCACCCACCCTCGCCACCCTTCCCTGCTCGCGCTTTCGAACACGCACTCCGAGTCCTGCGCCTGCAAGAAGCGCAACAAGGCCTCCTCTGCGTCTCCGTCCGTGCCTAACGAAGCCAGTGCGGTGCTGCTGGAGTCAAGGCAGACGGCGTGTGACACTGAGAATCTAGTACTGCAACTCCTCAGCTCCCAGTTCCGGTACCCCATCACTCCGCACTCCCTCCAAAAGCACTAGCGCTAGGTGAGATCCAGAAGCACCTCCACAACCCTTGATGGGTGCTGGGAGGCACTGCTGGTTGAGTGGTCTGCCCTGTGCGTTTTGCATGTGGTCTTGAAGTAGTACCGCAGCAAGCTAACACATCCCAGATTTGGGTCCAGGTAGGGCCTATAGGTATAGGGATCCAACTGCGGACATATCCTGTCTGACCCAGTCAGGTCTGTGAGGGAAGAGGTACATCAATGTTTCCAAAGGAGCGACTCCTTTAGACTTGAGACCAGCCTGTTGGCCATGTTCTGCGTCGACGGAATTGGCATGAATTGGATTCATGGCGTCCCACTTGACACGCGAATACATTCATTCATGGAACCTCACTCTGGGCCAAGGAGACATTCTCATGAAGAGCCCTAAAGCCATAAGGGTCTCTGCGAGTAACCCAGGTGGTGCCAAACCAGTTAAGATGGTTTCAGTATACAGTATCAGTATAGGTGACGTACCTATCATAATATATATATATATTATAAAGCATAGGATAGAAAGGTAGGTCTGCACCCTAGATCCACCATCCCACTCCATTTTCTTTCATTTCTCTACGGCAGCTCCGCTTGGCATTTGCCAGGTGGAGGCGGCCGTGAGACCTCTTACACACCTA